TTAATGTGCACTATTTCTGGCAGTCTGCAAAGGCCCTAAGACTCTGGAAACTAGGCTCTGCCATGGAAACCCAATGGGGTAACCTTGAGCTAGTCACACTCTCTCAGCCTCAGGGTAAGGCAATGGCACACCCCCTCTGCCAAGAAAAGCCCATTCTAGGGTCACTTGAAGGTTGCCCTAAGTTGGAAAAGTCCTCTGAGGGGCAATGCCACCCTCCTTGACCTCTCAGGCCAAGCTTTGTCCCCCTTCAGACGCTACCTGCGCCTTGCAACTGGGGAGGCCTCTGCTCCTCTGAGCTCTTTGACTGAGGGCCTTTGCAGACTGCCAGAGGCACTGCCTTGGCTTAGTGCTAGGGAGTCATGGGAACTTATTTATTTATTGTGGCACCAGAGCTCTCTGGCAGAGAAGGCTCAATGTCTCAGAAAAAAATAGAATTCCCATGACTCCCTAGCACTGAGCCAGGGCAGTGCCTCAATTTAATGTGCACTATTTCTGGCAGTCTGCAAAGGGTCTGAGAAGCACCACAGCAAGGCTGACATTTAGCACAATGGCTGCATCCGCACTGCAAAAATAATCCAGTTTGGCCCCACTTTATCTGCCTTGGCTCAGTGCTATGGAATCCTGGGAATTGTAGTTTGTTGTGGTACCAGAGCTCTTCCTGACAGAGGAGGCTAAGTGCCTTTGAGTCCACTTTAAGGGTTAGGGTTAGTGCTAGGGAATCATGGGAATTGTTGTTTTTCCTGAGACATTGAGCCTTCTGTCAGAGAGCTCTGGTGCCACAATAAAATACAGTTCCCATGATTCCCTAACCCTTAAAGTGGACTCAATTTGCACTATTTCTAGCAGTCTGCAAAGGCCCTAAATGTCTCACAAAACTACAGTTTCCAGAATTCCCTAGCACTGAGCCTTGGCAGTTGAAGCGGTGTCAAACAGCATTAATTTTGCAGTGCGGATGCAGCCTATGATCCCACTCTAGCAACATCCTAAGGAATCCTGGGACTCGCAGTTTAGGGAGGGAGAATTTCGAATATCGGCCCGCGTTGGGTGCAGCCACGGCAGGCAAAGCGGGATCATAGCGCTGTAAGCGGCAGAGTGCGGAAGGGACCCAACAGACGACAGAGGAAGGGAGAAGAGGGCTTGTCGGGAACCTCACCTGATCGATATACTGCCGCACCCGCTTCCTCAGACGCTCCAAATTCATGCCTTTTGCAGCGCCCGCCCCGCCGCCCGCCCGCGAGCTCGCGGGGAAAGGCGGTTGAACGGTAAAAAAGCGGCTTCTCCGACGCACGCGCACAAGAGGGCCACTCAGCGCGCGCGCCCCCCCCCC